TGAGGCCTGGTGTGGGAGGTGACGCTGTGGAGGAGTGTGCTGGAGGCCTGGTGTGGGAGGTGATGCTGTGGAGGAGTGTGCTGAGGCCTGGTGTGGGAGGTGATGCTGTGGAGGAGTGTGCTGGAGGCCTGGTGTGGGAGGTGACGCTGTGGAGGAGTGTGCTGAGGCCTGGTGTGGGAGGTGATGCTGTGGAGGAGTGTGCTGAGGCCTGGGTGCTGGTACATAGTAACAAGGGCTCAGCTTGCGGCTCGCTGTCCTGTGAGGCCGACCTCCTGTACGGGTGGGAAGCAGCGGTGGCCTTCAGAGGGTTGTAATGTGGGGCTGTTATGTCTCCCATCACCCATCTGAAAGTATTATTTTGTCTTTTACTTGGATGGACTTCATTTTTGCTCTTTCTTGGGGATTTTGGTTCTGTGTTCTGAGAGAGGGCTGGTGCCTGTGTGAAGGTCTGGACTTGACTTGACAGGCTCCATCTTAGGGAAAGGGCCATCTCAGAGCACCTGCTGTACTCAGTTCCAGGAAGAATCTCAGGAATGGGCCATGACAGCTTGAATAGATACAGGGCAGTAAAGTTTAGCAAAATCCAGACAATCCTGTTTAGAGAGCGGGTTGTGGTTCCCCACCAAAAGTCTAACCCAATGGTTTCAAATGTGGTTTTGCACCCAAAGTCTAGACCAATAGTTTCGAAAAGTCACCTTGCCCCATATGCCTTCTGCCCAATCCCAAGCTTGTAATTCCTGGCTTGTGGTTTTTCCTATAAAGACTCTCCACACCTGGGCTCGTAGCCACCGCCACATTTCCTTCCATCTGCCGTGGGGTAGCCCAGGTTGAACCTGAATAAAAGGACCCTTATGTGCTTGCATTGGAAACGGCTCCTTGGTGGTCTCTGGGGGTTTCTCGAAACGGGTACAACACAGGCTCTCTGTCCACTGGGAGTAGTCCATTGCACAGCCTATCTGAACTTAGGGTGTAGATCACACTGATTTTCAGCAAGAGGTTCTGAGTAGGCTCCTCAGACCTTTACATGCACACTATCACACATGTATCCACACCTGACATACACACATCTTGTATACACAATAATAATAAAATTAAAAAGAGCCAAATTCATAGGAAAAAGAAGAAAAAGATTTATTCAGTATGGCCACTTTAAGAAGAGGGACAAAGACTTCCAGTGACTACCCCCAAAACACAAGCCCAGCCTCAGGGTCCTGACACAAAGCTAGGTTTTAAGGAGAGGCCAGAGTTAAGTAGCAGGGCCAGGAAAGCTCTGCTTTGGGCTCAGACACTATCTGAAAGGGTCATTAGCATTTGAATTGGTGGGGGCTAGTCGGTCACTAAGTCACTGTCCAGAAGGGTTACCTGGTAGGCAAAAGGGTGCTAAGCCTGCAGGTAGAAGCTCCTCCCTGCCTCCTCTGGCCCTGGCCCCCCTTCCTTCCCCTGGGTACTCAGACTTTTCAGACACCAGGGACACGCCCCGGGCCTAATGTGAACTAGTTGCTTCCACAGCTTTTGGAATGAAGTGTGGAGTGTTGATGCCCAGTGGTCACTTTGGTCGTTACGTCTGCTTTTCTTCTGTACCCTCTAGATGTAGCCGGTAGAGTACATCAGAGATACACAGAAATGACCAAAGAAAAGTTTGAGGAGTTAAAAGAAGAAACCGTGCATCTCCACGCTGCAAACCAGTCCCTCAGCCTGGAACTGAGCGCCGTGAGACAAGCAATGAGGGAGTTACAGCTGCAGCTTAGGAGAGCGGGGAAAGACAGCCGGAGGCTGAAGGAGGCAGAAAAGGCGCCCCCTCAGGAAGGTGCGCCCCGTGGTGTTACCGCTAAGGGACAGTCGGGGCTTTATTCACTTTTCACTTTGAGAATCTACTTCCTGTTGTATGTCGATGTGTGGTGATATTTATGTTGTAATCTTTAAGATCCTTCATTAATACCCTTATGCTTATTGAATTTTGATTTTTATCTATTGTATCATTTTTATTAAATGTCATAGCTTATTTATATAAATTATATGTATAGACATTATATATATTTATGTACAATTCACTGCAAAGGAACAAAAAGATCAACCACTAGCTTATATAAAACCTGGGTGACTTTGATAACACTTGATTGTTGTGTAATATGAAGTCAATGTTTTTCAGTAGCCACACCCGAATTACTTTGCCTAAGGAAGCAAAGCCAAGACCTGCTGGATGAAAACAGGGGGTTGAAGATGATTGTCCATCGTCTGAATGTAGAACTCAGCCGCTACCAAACAAAATTCAGGCATTTATCTGAGGAAGAGGTAATGTTTCCAACACGAAGAAACAGTTTGTTTGTCTTTAGCCTTTACTGTTGAATTTATTTCTGGTTCTTGAGGGGTTCTTGGTAGCTCATGCCTTTAATCCCTGCATTTGGGTGACAGACAGGTGGATCTCTGTGAGTTTGAGGCTACCCTGGTCTACAGAGTGAGTTCTAGGATAGCCAGTGCTGTTACACAGAGAAATCCTGTCTTGGGAAAAAAAAAACCTCACTTGAGAGTGCCTACCCTCTCTCCCACTCGGCTGCACTGCTACTGTTTCCCGGTCCCCTCCACAGCACCACCCCGAGCTCCAATGCATTAACTATAAAAGTTTCCAAAAAAGCTTTTCTCCATCTTTCTTTCAAAAACTCTCTTTCCTATGTGCGAATGGAAATGTGTGATTGATGTGGCCACCTGTATTTCTTTCTGACTGACTTTTAAATGCTTCAGTTTATATGTTCCTTATCTGCTCTGACTTGTTACATCACTGCGGATCAGGAGCTAAGAGCCAGACTGGTAGCAGGCCTGTCCATGGCCCTGTATCTTATCACTGGGCCCCACCTCCTGCAGCTCTCCAGCCTCCACAGATAGCTCCATCAGCCAGCAACCAAGTACTCGAGCCTGGGCTGTGGCAGCATTTCAGTCTCAAATCACAGAGGGAACCAAAGCACAGGACCGTTCCACCTCCTTCATCCTAACCCATAATGGAGGCAGTAAAGAGCCTATGGAACATGGGCAGTGCCGGAACGTGCAAAGGAAAGGGTTAAAGGTTCGTGTCAGCTGCTCCATTGTCAGCCCCTTTCCTCAGAGTTACCACTGTTCTAGAAAGTCGATGGATTTTTACTCCAGTGAGCACAGGGCCCAAGTCCATAGGCTTGCTGAATAAGCTCCTAGAATCTAAGCTAAGCCAGGAGGCCTAGCCTCTGCTCTTAGAGAACCCCGGGACATGGGGTGGGGAAGGTGCAGACGTTCAGGACCCAGAACACATCACTGACTGTCTCTAGTTGTGGTCTGCGAGGGCAGACACAGACACAGACACAGCATTCTCCCCTCATGAGGGTTTCTGCGAGTCCTGCCTGTAGGACTCTGGAGATTTTTGTTTTTGTCTTTAAATGTACTGGAGATGAACTCAAGGCCTCGTACATTCTAGATAAGCACTGTACACCACTACACCCCCAACCCCTGACTTTCTTTTAACTCTTTTCTTGTTTTTATTTTATTTTATAATATAATTTAATTCTACATATCAGCCATGGATTCTCTTGTTCTCCCCCCCTCCCGTATCCCCCCCAAGCCAAACCCCCCATTCCCATCTCCTCCAGGGCAAAGACTCCCCCAAGGATTGAGATCAACTTGGTAGACTCAGTCCAGGCAGGTCCAGTCCCCTCTTCCCAGGCTGAGCCAAGTATCCCTGCATAAGCCCCAGGTTTCAAACAGCCAACTCATGCACTGAGCCTGGATGCCTCCCAAACAGATCAAGCCAATCAACTGTCTCACCTATTCAGAGGGCCTGATCCAGTTGGGGGCCCCTCAGCCATTGGTTCTTAGTTCATGTGTCTCCATTCATTTGGCTATTTGTCCCTCAGTCGTTGGATGGGGTTTCTAGCACCACAGTTAGGGTGTTTGGCCATCCCATCACCAGAGTAGGTCAGTTCGGGCTGTCTCTCGACCATTGCCAGCAGTCTATTGTGGGGGCATCTTTGTGGATTTCTGTGGGCCTCTCTAGCACTTTGCTTCTTCCTATTCTCATGTGATCTTCATTTACCATGGTCTCCTATTCCTTGTTCTCCCTCTCTGTTCTTGATCCAGCTGGGATCTTCCGCTCCCCCAAGCTCTCTTTCCCTCAACCCTCGCCCTTCATTACCCCCACTCACGTCCAGGCTGTTCATGTAGATCTCATCCATTTCTCCGTCATTGGGCGATCCTCGTGTCCTTCTTGGGGGGCCTGTTTTCTAGGTAGCCTCCCTGGAATTGTGAGTAGCAGTCTGGTCATCTTTGTTTTATATCTAGTATCCTCCTATGAGTGAGTACATACCATGTTTGTCTTTCTGAGTCTGGGTTACCTCACTCAGGATGATTTTTTTCTAGATCCATCCATTTGCCTGCAAACCTCATGATGTCATTGTTTTTCTCTGCTGAGTAGTACTCCATTGTGTATATGTACCACATTTTATATATCCATTCTTCAGTTGAAGGACATCTAGGTTGTTTCCAGGTTCTGGCTATTACAAACAATGCTGATATGAACATAGCTGAGCAAGTGCCCTTGTGGTATGATTGAGCATTCCTTGGGTATATACCCAAGAGTGGTATAGCTGGATCTTGGGGGAGATTGAATCCCAATTTTCTAAGAAAGCGCCATATTGATTTCCAAAGTGGTTGTACAAGCTTGCATTCCCACCAGCAGTGGAGGAGAGTTCCCCTTGGTCCACATCCTCTCCAGCATAAGGTGTCCTCAGTGTTTTTGATCTTAGCCATTCTGACAGGTGTAAGGTGGTATCTCAGAGTTGTTTTGATTTGCATTTCCCTGATAATTAGGGGTATTGAGCTCTCTCTCTCTCTCTCTCTCTCTCTCTCTTAATATAGCTTTGACATACAGGTTGAGTATCCCTTAGACAAAAATGCTTGAGATTAGATGTATTTATTGATTTTGAAGCTATTGAGTATTTCATGGACTTTACTTGATGGTAACCTTAAAGGACATCTTTTTTTGTTTTTTTTAAAGATTTATTTATTTATTATGTATACAGTGTTCTGTCTGCCTATGTACCTGCATGCAGTCCAGAAGAGGGCACCAGATCTCATTACAGATGGTTGTGAGCCACCATGTGGGTGCTGGGAATTGAACTTAGGACCTCTGGAAGAACAGCCAGTGTTCTTAACCCCTGAGCCATCTCTCCAGCCCCAAAAGACATCTTTTTAAAGTTAGTATTTTGCAGCATTTGACTTGCGACTGTCTGATTAACACCCACTAAATTAATTAATTAATTAACTAACTAACTAACTAACTAATTAATTAATGGTTTTGTTTTTATGTGACAGGGTCTCATGTAGCCCAGGCTGGCCTTGAACTCCTGATCCTCCTGCCTCCACCTCCGGAGTGTTGGGACTGCAGGTGTTCACACCTCCCCTACTGAATCCTGCCGTTTCATGTGTACAGTTGCTGGAGTTAGTGTGTCCAGACTTGCACAGCTACTACAATCAGTGCTAGGACACTCACACCCATCGCGACATTTCATGCCCGTCAAGTCTCCCCTGTTTTCCCAGCATGCACTTCCTCTACAGCAGCCCCTGGAAACTTGGTTTACTTTCTTATTTTGTTAGTTTATTGAGACAGGATATCTCTGCATAGCCCTGGCTTTCTTAGACCTCACCATAGACCAGGCTGGCCTCAGACTCACAGAGATGAGGCGTGCCCCACATCTGTCCAGGCTGGCCTCAGACTCACAGAGGTGAGGTGTGCCCCACATCTGTCCTGGTTACGTTCTAACTCTGCAGATTCGCCTATTTTGAGCAGTTCATAGAAGTGCGATTACATCGTGGGCGGCCTTTTGTGGCTGATTTCTTTCGTTTTGCATAATAGTAATCTTTCCTTTTTAGAGATGCTGGTAATCGAACCCTGGTCCTTGTACATGTTAGACAGGCACTCTACTAACTCTAATATTATTTATTTGTTTATTTGTTCATTTATTTCTAAGAAAGGATCTCCGACTGTAGCCCAAGCAGGGACCCACTATGTAGCTCAGGCTGACCTCAGCTTGCGGCAGGAGCTTCCCACCTCAGCTTCCGAAGTGCTGAGATTATAGGCATGCATCACCACACCAGCTCCCAGCATTAACTTTTTAATAACAAAATTAATCTGGGGGAGTTCACACAATCCAAAACACATTGCCTAGACCTTGTCCTTCTGTTGGGCTGTGGGCGGGGCAAAGCAAGTGGGTCCAGTGACAACATATTGTCACCTCTGTTGTTACCCCAGCATCCCCGCTCCATACACTTTTCATTTGACCTATGCAAATGCCACATTTTCAATGACATTTTTCCTAGTCCCTCTCTCCAGATGTGATCTCCCTCTTACTTATTTTGGGAAGGTGGAACGTGTGTGTGTGTATGTGTGTGTGTGTGTGTGTGTGTGTGTGTGTGTGTGTGTGTGTGTGTTTAGGTGTTCACGCATGGATGCACATGAAGAGGCCAAAGGAGAATGTCACTGTCTTCCTCTCTCCCTCCCTCCCTCCCTCCTTCCCTTCTTTTCTTCCTTCTTTTCCCCATCATTCCTTTCTTTCTCTTCATGTGGAAACATGAAGTCGGAGATAGTCTGAGTGTTTGTAATAGTGTTGTGTGTCAGTGTTATCTCCTAATTTTTACACAGTGCTGTGTTAACTAAACAAATGTTTTGTTCTTAGGAAACATGTTGCAGTATTTAGGGGATGAGGATGTTACTCTCAAACACTTCCCATTTATATGCACACACACATGCGCACAAAGAAGGATGATGTCTGTTCTAGACTAAGATAAGAATGTCTGTTTACCACATGGCATTTCAGGGACAGCTTGACTGTGTCTTCAATGTGTGCTTTAATTTCAGTGTTCCCAAATCGAAGGCCTCCCATCAAAGGGCCCCACACCCCCCTGGTTGGTAAGTGAAGGTTAATCTCAGGCCCATATTCTCTGGCTCTGTCAAACTACTAAGAACCATTCCAGAATAAGTTGCTTTCTTGCCCTTTAAAAAACATGATGAGCTGGGTGGTGGTGGTGTACATCTTTAATCCTAGCACTTGGGAGGCAGAGGCAGGTGGATCTCTGAGTTCGAGGTCACCCTGCTCTACAGGGAAAATCCAGGACAGCCAGGGCTCCACAGAGAAACCCTGTCCCGAAAAAACCAAACAAAAACCCCGAAGCCATGCTGGTTGTATTTCAGTGTAAGAAATTATGTCAACCATCTTTATTTCATGACTCACCCGCAGCTGGATATAAAGTACCTCTCCCCACTGCTGCTGGCTTATGAAGACAGAATGAAGGAGAAGGACAGACTCTACACCACGCTGGAGGTAGGTGGGCAGATGTCTCGGAGACAAGCTGTTTCAGATAAAACCGTTCAGACTGCAGAAACAGCTCACAGGTAACCGTGCTTAGAAGAACGGAGGAGCGGGTAGGGTGGCTGGGGGAAAGAGCTGGAGAAGGAGGAAGGTGTGTTTGGCAGAGCATGAGGGGTGGGTGGGTGGTGCTTGGAGGAGAGGTGTGCGGGGATGCAGAGCCTTTGAGAAGCTGTGGTCCGGGGACAGGTAGTCCCACGAGAGTGGCAGTCTTGGGAGGCAAAGGAAGAGCAGTACGTCATCCATGACTGTGCAACTGTGGACGCCAGCGCTAGAGCAGATGCTGGGCCAAACTGAGACCATGCCCAGGGTGTTTTAGGGAATCCTAACGCTCGGGGTCCCAGGAAGCACTGACCCCAGAGGTGCATTGTGATCGAGTTGTCAGCAGTATTAAAAACAAGGATTTGTCCATTTCACTAGTTCCTGAGAATGGCAGCCATTCCAACTGTAAGGAGACTAGGCCTGGGTATTATTAACACCCCTGGGTCCTTCTATGACTCATGCTTCTGAGGTCTTCACTATGGGGCCCAGGTATTGGAAGGATCCAGGGAGAGAAGAGTTGGTCTTTAGGGAACCCTGAATGGAAGAGGTCCTTTAAGAGCTCAACAGCCTGGTCTTCAGTCATGCTTCCCATTACCTGTCCCATCTCAAGAAACCTTATGACATACTATTGGACATTGGATTTTTTTTAAGACTTATTTATTCATATATTTTATATATACACCAGAATCTGATCTCATTATAGATGGTTGTGAGCCACCATGTGGTTGCTGGGAATTGAACTCAGAACCTCTGGAAGAGCAG